AAAAAAAAAAAAAAAAAAAAAAAAAAAAAAAAAAAAAAAAGTGGGCATGAGGCTAGGTGATGCAGGTGCATGCCTTTAATTCCAGCACTCTAGAGGCAGAGGCAGACACAGGTGGATCCCCCTTGAGTTCGAGGCCCCCCTGGTCTACCGAGTGAGTTCCAGGACAGAGAAACCCTGTCAAACATAACAACAGCAAAACAAACAAACAAACAAACAAACAAACAAACAAGTAGACACAGAGCCTGGAGAGATGGCTTAGCAGCTGAGGCCTTTCGGAGGACCAGCTTCCACGTTGACCATTTCACAACTACCTGGAACTCTAGCTCAGGGGATCTGACACACTCTTCTGGCCTCTGCAGGCACTGCACTTATGTCTATATGTGCACACAGAGATGCACAATAAATATTAAAGAAAACGCTGGCATGCTGGTGAGCCTGCTTGTCACTCCAGAGACACTGAGGAGTGAGGCAGAGACAAGCAGATCTCTGGAAGCTCACTGGCCAGACAGCCAATTATACTTGGTGAAGGTCTAGATCAATGAGAGACCCTGCCTTGGACAGAAGGCAAAAGGCCCCCGAGGAATGACACCCAAGCTTGTCTTCCGACCTTCATCTACTTGTGCGTACCCGAATATACTGTGCACATCCATTCCCCCACCCCACCCCCGCGCGCGCGCACACACACACACACACACAAGCATTCCGCTTTAACATCTAATACCATTGAAACTCTCAGTGATGTGGTTTTAATGAAAGATTTCAGAGGACTTTGTAATGTTGATTAGTTTGAGTTTAGTTTATTGAAGACAAAATACTTCGTGAAATCCATCAGAATGCCAGTGTAATTCACATGTGCTTGCTAGCTGAAAGGTTAGCCGGATGGTCTTTCAAAGATAATGATTGTCTAAAAAGCAGTTCTAAGTAAATACCTAAGCGTTCACCCACTGAGAATGAGTTGGCATTTTATCTGGCTCTTCAGTGGGCCTCTTGTGGGCAATGTCTTTGTCTTTGTTTATTATCATATCCCTTCCTTCAGCATCATGTCCGATAAAAATCATAACAGATACTTAATAAATATTTGTTGATTGAAGGAAGGAACATACAAAGGAATACATATATATATTCTAACGGGGCACTGCATGTCATCATAGCTTCAGCTATCAACTTGATATAAACCTAGTCAAACGGGGAGAGGGAACCTCAACTGAACAATCGCCCAGATCGGGTTGGCCTGTGGCCATGTCAGTGAGACATTTTCTTAGTTACTAACTCACGTTGCAAGCCCAGCCCACAGTGGGTGGTAGAGTCACTCTGTCTGTGCAACAAATCCCGCCCCCCCCCCCCCCCGTGGACAGTGGCTTGAAATGCAGCAACCTCCCCATCCTTTCTCTTCTCTTTCCCCTTTCCCTCCCCCTTCTCTGCTCTTCTTCCTTGTTGTTCTCCCCCCCACCTCCACCCCCTGCTCCCCCTCTCCCTCCCTTCCTCAACCTGCTCTGGATGGAATGGATGCAGTGAACTTTTCTTGGGGTGTTTCATACTATTGCAGTTAGTGAGTGGGTGCAGCAAACAGAAAAACCAGGGCAGCTGGGGGCAGCTGAGGTCCTCTCTCTTCACATGGTCACCTAGAAAGAGTGAAGATCTTTTGCTTAAAATTTATTTTTATTTTTATTTATTTTTTGTATGTGTAAATGTTTTGCTTTTATCTGTGTACCCCAGGCATCAGTACTTACAGAAGCTGCAAAAGGGCACTGGATCCCCTGGGACTGGAGTTACAGACAGTTGTGAGCTGCCATGTGGGTGCTGGGAACTGAACCTGGGTCTTCTGGAAGAGCAGCCAGTGCTCTTGACTGCTGAGGCATCTCTCCAGCCCCCAGTTTTTCTTTATGCATTTGCCTCAGTGGGCATTCAGGTGGCTTCCCTTTCAGTCATTGTGACTGAGGGAACACAAATATGTCTTCGAGGTCCCTTTTTTGGACACGTGTCAGAAAGTGCACTTGTTAGAGTCACTGGTGTTTAGATTGTTCATTTTTGGAGGAACTTACTATTCCCCAAACTGAATGGGTCGTTTACCCACTATCAGTACAAGGACTCCAAATTCCCCACACTTTTCAACACACTTACAGGGGTCAAATCTTGTCTGACTGCGGTGCTGACTTGCATTTCTATGGTGATGTGATGTTGAGTGTGTTACCATATGACCATTGGTTCTCTGTAGCTCTTTTATGGATGTAGGTCTTTGAACAGATGTAAATATCTGTTCCAGTTCTTAGCGCAGGTTTGTTTTGAGACACGGTTTTCTTATTCTACCCAAGATGGGTTTGAACTCCAGTGGTCCTCCAGCCTCAGCCTCCCACGTAGCTGAGACAGCAGGCGCTACCCCTAACCTGGCATCTGCCCATTTTAAAACCTGTTGTCTGTTCTTCTCTCTGTTCCTTCTTCTTTGACAGGAATTCCTTACATATCCTGGACATTAACTTTTCTCAGTTATAGTCTGTGAACATATTTTCCCATTCTGGGGGTGCCTTCTCACTCTGCTGATGGGTTCTCTTCTATTGTCTTTCCATTCATATTCACCGAGGACTTCCTTGCAGCAAGCCATTCATTGGACCTTTTCTTGGGGACTCCAGACTTAGTGTCCCAAAGGACAAAGTGGAATTGCACCACCGTTTCCTGTCTGATCATGTAATGTCATTTTTCTGCATTTGACTATGTTAGGATTGGGTCTGGGGTCTTGAGAGCACCACCGTTTCCTGTCTGATCATGTAATGTCATTTTTCATTTTTCTGCATTTGACTATGTTAGGATTGGGTCTGGGGTCTTGAGAAAATGAGCTCACAATCCAAAGTATTACAGAAAGACTTGCTTCAGCAGAAGGGGGCATAGCCAGCCTTAACCAAGCAAAGCAAGTCCTGCAAGGTCCCACTGGATTTTTATTTCTAGCTCGAAGGGATCCTGCGCCTCACTCTGAGCGGCCAGAGCTCAGGCTCACATTCTTATGCTTCTGGCTAACGTAAGTACTACTTTTGAAAGACTGAGAACAGGATAGAACTCTGAGTACTTACTTTGATCTTAGAAAGACTGCTGACTAGGGAGGGATTTCTGCTGGGTGGTGTCTTTACGAAGTTCTTTAAAGACAGGGCTCGGCTAAACCTTTGATATAGAAGGCAATGTGTTTCATTTACATCCCCACGGCTCAGCCACCTATGTAACTCTCTAAGACTCTATGGGGAGGGAGTTACCTCCCCCTATTTGTGGGGGTTTGGTAAGGTTTTGGGGTAACTGAATTGTGTCCTCTCAAATTTTAATGCGGTGAAGTCCTAATCATCAACACATAAGACTGTGACGTTATGTGGAATAAGATCATCCTAGATATGGTTTTAAGATGAGATCATCATCCTGGGACCTAGTCCAGGATGACTGACATCCTTATACAAAGGAGAAGTGTGATTCTTTAAGTACTCGACAGGCAAGCGTGAAGACCCGAGTTAGATACTCAGAACCACATCCCTGTAATCCCTGCAATGGGGAGGCAGAGACAGAAAGATCCCTGGGGTTTAATGACCATCCGGTTTAGCCAATCAGCAAGCCCCAGGTTCCAATGAGAGACTACATCTCAACAGCACACGGTTTCTGCATAATCACATGGTTCGCTTCTCCCTCCACATGGACATGCACACATGCAGTCATGGACACACACGCCAGTTTACCTGTGCACACACCATGCAGATATGTGGACACAGAGAAACAGACTCATTGGGAAAAAATGCCATGTGTGGATGAAGAAAGAGACCAAGGTTGCACTTCCACGAATCAATGAAAGCCAGCGATAACTGCCAACCTCCGGAAGAGAGGAACAAGTGCAGTCTTCTCCACAGTCCTTCCAGCCTTAGGTCTATGGGCTAGAGATGGGCTGGAAAGCTGGCTCAGCAGTTGAGAGCACCGACTGCTCTTCCAGAAAACCTGGGCTCGATTCCCAGCACCCACATGGCTGCTCACAACCAATTGTAACTCCAGGCCCAGGGGATCCAATGCCTTCATCTGGCTCCCATGGGTACCAGGTTGCACATGGTACACACATGCACACACAAAGGTGAAAACGTTCCATGCACATTAAAATTTTAAAAAGAAAAAGAAGTATGAGAATAAATTCTGTTCATTAGGCCACCCAGTTTATAGTATTTTGTTACATCTGTAGAAAGCATGGGCTATGTGGAGTGGAAAACACTGTGAACCTTTTGAACAATTTGACCTGTCCCAGATCAGGAACAGATATTCATGGAAATATCTGCGTGTTCTCTGAGAGGTTCCAATCCTATTTTAATCTTACTTCTATCATTTTCATAACTTTTTTTTTAAAAAAAAATCACCTTGATAATTAATTGTAGTGTACAAAACTTTGTTTTCTATTTTGTTTTAAAGAAAAGAGATTTAAGACTTTGTTTGTTTGGTTATATTTTCTTTTTTTTTTTTTTTGAGACAAGGTCTTGCTGTGTACCTCTGTGAGACTTGGTACTGACTACATGACATTCATGTTCCTCCAACCTGTAAGCCTTGCCTCAGCATCCTGCGGGTTACAGGTGTGCACCGTTATGCCCAGTGAGACTCAGCTCTGAATTGCATCTTCTTGCTAAATATTACCACTCTGAAAATACCCTTCCTTAATCTCTTTCTAGGTCTCATCACGACAGGATCAATGGAAGTGAAGGCAAGCGACTTTTACTCACCCTGCCAGCACTATAATGTCACCGTCGCTCTTCTCGTTGACCCTATGAAGGAATACAACGCTACCTGTACCCCTGAAGCCCACCCTGGGAAACCCACAGGTGTAGAAGATCCACCCAGGGGAGATTCTCTAAACCACACTTGTGGAATTATGGAAAACACGAGTAATTGTACTCATGTTTCCTTGCGCCTAGCAGTAGATGTGAAATGTAAGTTTGAAAGGAAAGAAGAGGGAGATGGAGAAGTTGGGTATCCATACATAAAGTTAAGAAGGGGCTATGAAATTCACCAGAAGTCAAATAGCTGAAAATTTCATTATGGAAATAATACTGCCCCAAAATATTAATCTTCTTTATCTGTTTACTTGACTTTAAGATGTGTTTTTATGGGACTCAGCCATAACCTGAGACAGAGGTGGTATGTCTGGGTTTGTGATTTGAGGGCTACCCAAGGTCCTCTGCCCTAGGATAACTGAGCCTGTCTGGTATCTGCGCTTGATGGAAAGTCACCAGTCTTCAGTACTCAGAGGGGGGAGTTCTCTTAAAGATCAGGCTCTGGTGCGCGTGCGTGTGTGTGTGTGTGTGTGTGCATGTGTGTGTGTGTGTGCGCGCGCGCGTGCATGTGTGTGTGTGTGTGTGTGTGTGTGTGTGTGTGTGTGACTGGCTGATTCTGAGGAGAAAGAATCTCAGATATTTAAATTCTTTTCAAGGCTGATTAAGTTCCTTGCACCCTGTTCTGAACCCCACAGTTACTATTTTCTGCTCAGTGGTGTGCCCCCACCTCACCCATAAAATGTATTCTTAGAAAGCATTTTATAATATATTCATTTAGGAGTACCTTCTGTATGTCAACCACCATGCCCGGCACCATGCCCAGATGGGGGCCAGGAGTCAATGAACATAAAACCAGAGAAAAGAATCACACAGCCCCCAGAGCTGCAGGTGCCATGACAGAACTGTTTGCTAGACATTTGGGTACTCTAAAAAGATGGACGCTTTCTCCATCACTTTAGAATTCCTTACTAAAGCTTAAGCATTTTAAAGGTGGTTAATAGTTTTAAATTATGCCTGTCATATGCGGTGTAGCCTCCTCAAATGATACAGTTAACTGGGCACCAAGTGTTCAGTCACAGGAGTCTCTGGGGACATTTTCCATCCAAGCTGCAACACTGGCAGAAACAGGGTCTAATCACTCAGTCCTCGGCCTCTGCCTTCAGTTGCTGCCCTATGCCCCTTGCTCTTGCTGTACCTTTGTTAATTTGAGGGCATATTTGGGGCTGCATGGCCCACGACCAAGATGATTAATTGCACACAACCCTGATATAAGGCTGCTTTGTGGCACTCTTGATGTACAACGAGGAAATTGATATTGGCATCACCTGGAAGTGAAATTAAATGCCAGGATTTTGAATTAAATGGATCCCTGGGAGCCACTTGGCCAATTTCCTCATTTAGTAGCTTCGTTTAATATATTGGAAAAGTGTTCAGGAGAGCAAGGGTCCCTGTTAAGTTAAGGCAGCAAATAGCTTTTCTGCCAAAGGCATACACCTCCACTTGGCCTCTTATCTCATGCTCTGTCTCATTCTGTTGAATCTTTTTATTTTATATATATTTATTTGTGTGTGCATGTCTGCCACGACACATGAGTCCAGGCCAAAGGACAACTCGCAGGAGTTGGTTCTGTCCTTCCTCTGTGTGAGTTTTCGGGGCAGACCTCAGAGGGTTGGCGGGTACCTATGCCTGCCAACTTTTCTGATTTTTAAGAGCGCCTAAATTTTTTTTTTTCTTTTTAATTTTTACAGCTGTCACTTGTTCCGTGAAGATCACTTGGTACATTTTAGTGCTATTAGTTTTTATGGTCGGCATCATCCTCATTATCCACAAAATCCTCGAGGACCACAGGAGAGTGCAGAGGTGGAAGAGTAAGTACCAGGAAATAGCCCCTGGCCATATGGCTTTCCCCAGGGAAACACGGACACACACCTGTCCGCCCCAGATTTTCTTTTTAGCTCGTTTGGCCACTTACGGTGTTCCTCCTCTGTGTAAATGCTGGTTCTAGAGAATCTAAAGGAAAGACAGCATCAGCATTCAGGGGCCATTCTCCTACACGGGCAGGTGAAGGGTCAAGAAGAGAGGCAGGGTGAAAAGGAGGCGCTGTCCCCGACGGTGGCTGGGAGGGCTTAGTGGATGGAAGTGAGGGCAGAAGACATGGTGACACTTGCAGAGCTAGAGACCCAGAGTACAGGGCTCTCTAGGTGACAATATGAGAGTAAAAATCTTTAATAAGTGTAGGGGGTGCCGGTGGAGTTTGGGTGGGACGGAACTAGAAGGGCTTCTTAAGTCAGAACAGTGGGAGCAGTGTTAAACAGCTTTGGTAATTAGCATGACCTGGGCACTCACCTAGCAGGGTGGATCGTAAAGACTGCACGTGCATACCCTGGCTACATATCAGACTTGATTGACAGTTCTTCGGTAATTAGCTGATCTCTTAAAGACTGTATAAAAGCATCGCCATGATAGCAGACTCTGAAGACGTCAGATCCTTGTATTACCTCCTATAGCTTTGAGTGAGTTACCATTGCTAAACATGGCTTTCCTCAACTGTCCTACACGATACTTGCCTCTGCCACATGGAGCTGGGGTAGAGGCTGAAATAAAGAGATCACCCAAGGAGTTGAATATTGTCAGGGCACAGCCAGTTCTCTCTCTTTTTCTCTCATTCTGGTTTCTCTGTTTTGTTTTGCAATGGAGTTCTCTGTGTAATAGCCTTGACTGTCTTGGAACTCGCTCTGCAGACCAGGCTGTTGTCAAACTCACAGAGATCCACCTGTCTCTGCCTCCCAAGTGCTGGGATTAAAGGTGTGCGCCACCACCTGGTTTCCCAATGAAGGCTTGTAGTATGGCTGGGTGCGTTCACTTCTTATGTTCTTTGACAGGCAAGGTTGTTTAATAAATAATGTTCACCTGCAGCAAGGGTGCCGTTGATTCTTTGAATTAATTCTTTGTTGCAGGGATTTTTTTTGAGAGTCGTTGCAGAACGAGTCTCATCTCTGATCCCTTAGTAATAAAGGTCTGCCGCGTCATGGTTAGTGACATGACCATGTTGTGTCTTTGTAGAACGCCAGTTCCCACTGGGTGATCAAAGCGTGTGTCCTGGATGGCCTTAACTGTCAACTTGACACAGCCTAGAATAACCTCAGCAGGGAGTCTCAAAGGGATGCATTGCCCAGATCAGCTTGGCCTTTGGTCATGTCTGTGTGGTGGTGGGGTTGTCATGATTCCTAACCGATGCGGGCACCATCCCTAAGCAGGCAGTCCTGAAACTGGATAAGAAAGCTAGCTGAGTACACGCCAGACTGCAAGCCAGCTAACAGGCAGCAGCCTTCCCCAGTTCCTGCTCTACTTCCTGGCCGTGAGCTGAGTTCCCTGGTGGGAGGTGGCACCAATCAGAAGAGTTAGCAGGACTGCCTTGACTCCCATCAGTGCTAGACTGTGACCCAGAAGTAGAAGACAAATAAGACCTTTCCCCTTTTTGTCCTGGTATTTGTCATGGCCACCGGGTAAAACCACAGCAGTATGGAAATAGTACTATTATTTTTGCTTTTTGCAGAAAAAGGGGAGGGGGGGACTCCCAAACTCAGGTAAGTTAGCAGTTTTGTAAAAATCTACACAATTAATAAAATGGCAGAGTAAAACTTGGCCTCTTCCAGGCATTGAAATGTGTGGTAGTTGAAAATAATTCAAAGTTCTACATTTCTTGAACCATTTTTCATGTATGAATGCAGACTAAGAAAGAAAGATACGAGGTAGGAAAATGTCTAGAAAGACGCGGGCCACAGTGGGAAGTACGTTAGATTCTTTCAAACGTCTATCCAGAATACAAATTCAATGGCTTTCAAAGTGTTTTCCTTGCAAGTCTAAATATATAAAGCAATGAAAAATATCACAATACTCATGCTACTTACTAGATATAACTAATCTGCAATACTTCTTAAATATTCTGCGTATCATATCCATATAGATAAAAATAGCATTTTGTTAATACTGGCTGGCGCCTTTTCAAGAAGAGACATACATAACAGTATGGTGGTGGAGAAACCATTGCTTTTAGAAAGAGACTGGCTTTGTTGTTATTGGTGTGTGGGTTTTTGTTTGTTTGTTTGTTTGGAGATAGGAGTTGACTGTGTGGCTCTGGCTGTCCTAGAACTCACTGTGTAGACAAGGCTGGCCTTGAACTCACATTAAAGGCTTGTGCCCACGTGCGCCTGTGTTGGTTAGTGAAAGAACGATAAAAATTCCTGCTGCCGTATGGCTCCGGATCCCCTTGTGGCCGCTCCTGTCTCCTTGACAACCTAAGCTATCACAGGGAGCACAGTGGGAATGTGACTTTGGAAGGGCGGGACACAGGGGCCACTATGTAGTCCAGGCTGCCTTCAGACTCAGGGTCCTCCTGCCTCATTCGCCAAGCGCCGCAATCAGAGGCCTAAACCACCACCACGTGTGGCAGAATGTGCTCGTTTGGTATCTAAATCTTTAATTTCTTTCCTTGGAATAGGTCGTAAACCCAAATCTGCATCCGTTCTCTTAAGAGGAAGTGACTCTGCGAAGCTGAGCGTCTTGAATAGGACGGCTATTCCAGGTGAGTTCTGCAGTTTCAAACAGCACAGGACGGGGAAATGCCAAGGCGGCGCCCTCTCCGTACACCGCAAACTCCAGACCCGAGTTCATTTTAAGTAGCCTCGAGTTTAGAATAAAGGAACTGTGGGCGACTGTAATCCAGCTCCGTACATCTCATTATCAGGGGACAGTTATGATCAAAGCCACCTCCTTAAATAACGGAAAGTTTGCCTAATTGGCAAGAAGAAGCTCGCGTGAGTAGGCAAGGGAGAGGACGTCGTGGGGAACGAGCCGGGGATTTATTTTTAAACGAGACAAGATACCATTATTTCTCAGAGTTGCGAGAGGTAATTGTAGTGTGGGCAGAGCTTCTGCTGGAGCCTTCACTTCACGGGGGCGTCGTTGTGTAAAGAGAACTCCTAATAGCCTCAATTAAAAAGGCCCTGTCCTCGCCCGAGAAGGGGGAGGGAGGAAGGGGATCCTAATTAGAGCAGCTAAGAGGGCTGTGAACACAGATGCCGGTTCCAACTTCATCTTTCTAATTGCGCGGCCTGCTGTCAAACCACATTAAAACGAAAGCCGATGACGTGGACGGGGTAAAGGTCCTCCTTTTCCTTCACCAAAGAGAAAGGATTTAAAAAAAAAACTGGAAATTCCACCTAGGTAGGGCCTTGGGCATGCTAGGCAAACACTCTATCTACGTCGCTGAGCTATGCTCCCCCAGCCTCCCTACCTTTTTAATTTTGAGGTAGGAGCCCACTAAATTGCCCAGGCTGGCCTTGAATTGGCTCAGATTTGTGACCCTCCCTCTCACTTCTGTTTTATAGGCCCGTGTCACGAGGCCTGGCTTGCGTTTAGATTTCATTTTAATCTCTTGCAGTCTGTGTGACAGTTCCTGGCTATTCTCTCTCTTTCTCTGTCAGACAAGGGCTTACTATGTAGCCCAGGCTGGCCTCAAGTTTATAGCTCTGTCTCTGCCCCCAACCCCCCCCCCAGCCCCGTAGGATTATGCTTATTTGCCTGGCGACAGAGGATGTTTTTGACATCTTTTTGATATTGTTTATATTCTTTGTTTCCAGTGGGTGAGCAGCCGCTTGCACTAGTTGAGAAGCTTGCACAAAAAGAAGCTTCATATCTGGTGTGTAAACTCTTTTCAAACATGAGAGGAAGCTGGATAACTTCCTGCTTCCACTGCAGGACAATGGCAGCCACCTAGAGACCCACCCAGCATTTCACCGAGACCCTGTGCCCATGGCTTCTGTTAACTACTGAAACAGGCAGTCAGATAGACCCTTAGCCTGGGAACAAATATGCCTGGATGCATCCCAAGATCTCAATCAACATAATCTGGCAACGGAAAATTATTAAGCCAGGGTTAGTAGTAAGCAACAGCTAGACAATTCTTAACATCAGCTGTTTAGGAGTCAAGTTAATGGACATTTTGTGTGGTTCACAAAGATTTTGTTTAATTAATGACATAAAAGCCCCCAGAGTTGTTTTAGGGTGAGAAATCATCTTTTAAAGGAAGAAAATGGCGATTCTGCTCTTCGTCTCTCTTGTCTAGTGTACCTGCCTGTACCCCAGGAATGGTTCAGCCCACCTCTGCTGAGTTTTGTGATTGCCCGAGGAAGCCTGGCTGTTTCCTAGCCATAATTCTGAGCACAGCCGTCTTGTCTGAGAACAAGTCAATTGTTCCCCTGTCACCTCAGATAATTGCGGGAGTCACAAATTTTAAGGCCTGGATAGCCACGAGATGAACCTCACAAGTTTTATTTATGAGCCTGAGGTTTTCCTGGCCCCGAAGAAGCTGTCTTGGGGCTGCCTTCTCTGTAATGGCTCTCACTAAAAAACCCTCTGGTTTTAGTACCAGACATATTGTAGGAATGTTCAGGGCAGACCCGGGGGGAGGGGGTGAGGTTCTTTTTTTAAGGCCAAGAATCCTTTTGAGGCTTAGCATCTTCTAAAGGAAAAGGGGGAGGCCCTTTCATTTATCGTCCTTTACCCTGAATGCACCCCCTTCTTCATTCTAAGTCGCTCTTTCCAGTGAGAAGTGGAGAGGAAATCATGTCTCCCCTGAGCTGTCTTTAGGGCTGCTCTTTGTCATGATGGATTACAGGCAGCAGCGAGAGGTAAGGGAAAATGTGCCCATGTGAGTCTCCGGAAATGCGGTACCGTGAAGAAAAGAAGCGGAATTCAAAAAAGCAATGCCTGTGTGTCGCATTCAACTGAGCCTGGTGTCAGTGCCAGCCACTCGCTCCAGAATGGCCCTGTGGTTCATGACCTACAAAGGCAGTGTTGCCACACAGGTACACACACTGGGATGTGGAGAGGCTCGTCCATCCCCAAATCACCGTCCTCTAAGAAACAAGCAAGGAGGGCTCAGCAGGACCCTTCCTGCTCAGAGCCTGCCACTATTAGAGCCACATGGAACAAGTGTGCCTCTGATGCTCTTCCCCTTCCCCCAGAAACGTGATGGTTTGTGTTGTCTGTCTTGGTGTTAATTTCCTTAACATCTTATCCATCTGTCACATGGGTGACGACTTCGCTTTACCTGTCCTGTATCCTTCACTGTAGCATAGCCTTTGGGATCCCATTCTTTCATGATAAGAGTTTATGAAACAGCACAACCCTAGGGAGAAGTGGGTATAGAAAAGGGGAGGTGATGTCATGGCACACACCTTTAATCTCAGCACACGGGAGGGAGGCAGAGACAGGATGATGTCTGTGAGTTCGAGGCCAGCCTGGTCTATGCAATGAGTTCCTGGACAACCAGAGCTGCACACTGAGACCCTGTCTCAAAAAAATATCAGAAATGAATTTAAAAGTTAGAGAAGAAATGAGTCTTAAGGATGGGAAAGGTGAACACGAACATGAACACGGACACACTGAGCAGGAATAATCAGAAAGAACATAATTCTCCTTCATTGGAAACATGGACAGTGAATTTTGTAGAATTGCTAAGGATATTAAAGAGCAATGAGAAACAATGACCATTTTAAGAAAGGCATTTTAAAAGGGATTTTATTTTTTATGTGTGGGTTTGTATACACACACACACACACACACACATGCGTGTACCTTTGCCCACAGAGTCCAGACGAGGGTGTTGGATCACCAAGAGCTAGAGAGAGAGGTTGTAGGGTGATAGCCTGATTCATAGCACCCCCAAATAAAGCTAATGGCAATGGAAAGTTATAATTCCCAGCATGTTCATGGCCAGGATAATAAAGACTGCGCAGGTTTCAATTTCCCGCAGAAGAGAAGATGAATGGCTGGTGCCAGATGTTTTGCAACTAAGCAAGATAACATGAAAGTTTAATTTTTACTTGCTTTACCCATAATATTGATGACTCTTAAAATGCCAGTTGGGTTCATAACACAGAGAAGGTTATAGCTATCTGCTTGGTTACAGACTAGATCAAAAAGCAAAGGATGGCTTTCTTTGCTGGAAGAATCCATAGCTGGAATAGAATGATTTATTATAGGTGTTCATTGAATGCCTTTATGTGACAGTCATTTATACCAGCTCTGGAAGAACAGACTGCAGAACATATGCTTTGAACAAGTCCTCCATCTTTGCCCAGATGGTCCTTGCCTGGACCCTCTGTCCTCCCTTGATGCCCACCATGTACAACCCCATTCCAACCCTGACTTTGCCTTATGATCTGGGCTTAACCGACGCGTTCCAAGACAAATAAATAATCATAAAAATAAGTAAGTCAGTTATCAAAACATTTTCAAGAAGGAGGACCTGAAATCAAGAACAGCTGGGACCTGTAGAATAAGCTGATTGTAGGGACAGAGACAGGCTGATCCCTCGGGCTCACTGGTCAGGCTACTTGGGTGAGCCCCAGGCCAGTGAGAGACCCCATTTCGAAATAAAACATCAACATGAGGTGCACAGGACCTGAGGAGGAATGACGTGTCTGACCTCAAAATGCACACACACGTTTACTTGTGCACACACATCAGCACCCACCCTCACACTCCTTTCACATATACAAAAAATAAAACATAACTGAACAAGTAGTTTGGAGGCAAGCACATGAAAAATTTGATGGGAAAAACAGGCTTCCCAACCAAGAGAAGGAATACAGTATTACGTGGGAAGGATGAAATGAGGCTAGATCCCAGATGTCCCAGATGTAAAAGACCTCTGAAAAGTGATAGAAACCTTTTTTTTTTTTTTTTTTTTGAGGGGAGAGGGTAAGCATTGCATTGCAGGGCAGCCTGGACGTCGTCACAGGACGTGTGATAAGGCCTTTCTTCTACTGTGGAAATCCATTGTTTCTGAGACTCAGTCAGGCTGAAAACCACACTGGGGTTCTTTGAAAAAACGTTAAAGACCTTTGGAGGTTCCCGAAAAGCATCAAGTGTTTGAGTGAGAGAACTGACAAATTCTTGAAAAGACATTTATGACGTTTAAATATATTTCTGACAGCTTGTGCTGCCTTAACTAGAGTTGGTGAATTAATAGGGTTCTAAGGAAACTATTTTCCAGGGCAGTGTGAGAGGAAAAATCTCACCTGTCTTAGCTATTCTTAGGAAGGAATTAAAATGACACACCTCTATCTACCTTTGGATGTTTTTGTTAAAATCAGTTTTTAGAAGTTTTTCTATTAGCATATGAGTTATGAGTTGCATGACTTGGGATACGAGGGGACGCCAATGGTAACGGATCACTAGAGGGAGGATATTCCCGACTAGGCATCATTTTGACAGGTAATAGCTTTCCTTCTGACAGTGTGGTCATATCGTGCTATAACACATCCACACTCTGAATCCACAAGCAGACAGTGTGCAGCTGGCTCTCCAGCCAGAAGAACCTCATTAATTCTGCATGATAATTATTTCATTTTATGAATAGGCTCCTTTGATATGACCTTTAAAAAGAGCAGTCTCCAAATCTCAGGTTACAGAAGGCCAAAAACATCTTGTCGGGGCACATCTAAGCAACTGTTTGCACAGAAAATTTATTCCAAAAGCTTTCATGCACACCCAAGTCACTTTTGGAAGTCTAGAACATTCATACTCCCAGGCTTCTAGGAAGGGACATTCAAATCCAATAGATCTGGGGACAGAGCCCAAGAACCTGCATTTTTAATCATCGCCTCTGGTGACATTTAGGCCGAGACTGGGTCGATCACTATGTTCGTTTCCACAGTGTAATCAATTACCGCAAACTTTGTTGCTTAACGCGACATAATGCGTTGTGTTATTTCTGCTTCTGCGGGTTGGGAGCTGGTCACTCCTTATCTGAGCGTGACTCAGCTTAGAGACTTCCAAAACTGCAACCAAGAGGTCAGCCATGCTGCAGTCTCACCCAGAGCTCTGCTTCCAGGTTCACGTCTGGCAGAAGGCACTTCCTTGCTGCAGGGTTCTGAGGACTCTGGCTTCTTACTGTCTGTGTACCACTGCCCCTTCACGTCACCTACAGTTCTCCACGACTGTTTGCTTCTCTAATCCACGACTGTTTGCTTCTAGAATCTTTCTGATCTTGGGATCTTGATCTGAGAAGACCTGGTCTCTCTTTGAAGAGCTTTATTATGAATCAGGCTCGGACTCAGTCAAGATAATCTCCCTTTCTGTCAGCTCAAATCCAAGCAGTTTGGGATGCTGATTACATTTGTAAAACAGAGTCCTCTTCACTCAATACTAGACACTAATCATGGTTTCTAGGAACTCTGAGGCGGGGCTGGGCTGATGGGAGTGGTATCCTGGAAGTAGTTGGTACTCACTGTCCGTGAAATAAAATCAAAGGATGCTCAGGCCTCAAGTGCGAGGGTTCAGCGAGGAAGAGACAACAGGGAGGGGGGGAGTTCTGGGCCCAGGTGGACACTGTTTCCGATCTCATCTGACTCTCTTGGTGGGGGATGTTTGGTCATTTTACCCTTTAGAAGACTAACTGTGGAATAAATCCTAATTTTAATAGTGATTTTAGCCTGCCTCAGATTGCATTCTCAGGAAATGGGGTGAGGAGCTGAAGGAAGAGATGAGGGCACATACCTGAACTTGAGGGAAGTGGGTTTAAAGTATTAGAACCATCTGAAAGAAATTGAGTGAGCTACAGAAACTGCCCAGCTCCTTTTTAAAAGGAGGGCAGGGTTCTCTTCCAATCCATCCATATTACAAGTTCTTTTAGTCTTGCTGTTGACTGACATGGCTCTTTGTCTTGAACTGTAGAGTCCACTGGAAGGCTGCCCTCAGTGCGGATCATGGAGGTGCTCCCCCCAATACCAGAACTTGAAGTCACTTCTGCAGTGCTCCAGCAAGATCAATATACACAGTGAGTGATGCCCAACCTTATTGATGGTTTGACTGGTGCATTATAAACATGAACGGCCTCAGGGAACTCTGCTTGCCCCTCATCAGCATTTCTGTCTGGGCGGAGGACATAGAAGTGATAACCTTGTGAAGCCAGCCCACTGGAATTCGGTGACGTGAGCTAAAGTGCCCATTTTCTCCAAGATTCAGGAAGGATCAGCAAACTAATCTCTCGGTCTATTAGACTAATCTCTCGGTCTGTGCAACTGTCCCTGAAATGTCAGCTCATCTCTTGGCATCGCTTGTCCTGGAGTCGAGCGGTAAATCAGTCAGAGCATGAGAAAAGGGGTTGTGAGATTTGTTTAGTCCAACCCATCGATCCAGTCATTGAAACAAAACTTTACCTTTGGCATCTGATACCCTAGAGGAATGTGCCTTGATCTAATACATTCTAATTTAAAAATGTGCTCAGAGGTGTCTTCAAGATGCTTTTCATTCATTCAGCAAACGTGTATTAAGTGACTGCAGTGACACAAGGTCACATACGGTACATAAGGATGGTAACAGAAAGGGGGAGGGAAAGCGGCGTCTCTGGGTACCCTCCCATTGTGCTTCATCATGGCCGGTCTTGTCCCTACGACTTTATAGTACTTGAGAGGCTATTGGTCCAGGCTCTAGCAGAAAACTAGTGTTTTATTCAAATTGAGTAAGTCAAAGTTTAATAGTCTATTAAGACAAGATGTGATGTGAAAACTCTGGGGGAGAGGAGAGAGAGAGAGAGAGAGAGAGAGAGAGAGAGAGAGAGAGAGAGAGAGAGAGAGAGAGAGAGAGAGAGAGAGAGAGAGAGTCTGTTTTGTTTAGGAAGAGTTGTCTGATAAGGGACTTGACCTCAAACAAAGGATATCATAGCTCTCCCTGAAGAGAGAGAGAGGAAAAACCAAGCCGAATCCTGCCCTTCCTTTGCTCAGCTGTGCTAGCCTTCTCCACTGGCCAAGGCTAAGCAAGGATAGACAGACTAAGCCAAGCTGAGGTGGCTTGTGCAGCCTTTTGGCAGGGCACTAAGTGGGTAGAAGGAAGGGAGAGCTGATCTGGAGAGGTAACTAAAGATCTAGTCCAAACGGCCAATGTGCAAAGTGCAAACCTAGCGGTGTGGATACGTGTGTGTTCAAGAAGGAAGTCTGGCAGGACTTCGTGTGGTCAGGGTCTGCTGTTGGCTAGAAATTCCTAGGTTTGATTAATGAGAGTGCCAAGAAAGTCTTCCTGAGCCCCACGTCTGTTTCCTCCCACGCCGGTCCTCATGCCGGGACTGTTCAAGCTCACAGATAAAAATTCTTTGCCTCAAATAGGAACTTTGTGTCAAGAACTCTACTCCTAGGCAAAAGTAACGTGGTAGTTAGTGGGGAAATCAGGGTAGAGAAACTGCAATCCCAGTGACGAACGTAAGGTAAGACAGGGTCTAAAAGAGCTGACGATAGAGCCGCCAGTCAGAGGGCAGGATGCCTAGCTTTTGCTAGACCCTAAATAAACATATGGAATAGAAAAATCACTCCACAGTGGTCCTACCATTACCGTGGGTTGTTTTAACAGAGAGACCTGCACCAACTTCCATGTTTCCATTGAGAGGATGCTAAAGTCCTGTGGTAGCAGAGGCAAGAGGCATCTCTAGGCTTCCTCTGTCCTATGCTTGCAGGGTTCTCATCACTCCAATGCTGTCCTTGTAGGGAGGGATACAGTGGGAGCATCATTGTGTAACACAGTAGCGGATAGAGCCCCTAGTCAGTGATGGAAAGAAGGTATTTCATAGTATAGGACACAATGTTTGAAATGAATGATTTAAAATTGTTCTCTACCAATTCTAATTTTAGACAGCACTTAAGAAACTCTTGAGGTGAATACTATTTGTTTGCATTTAAAAAACTTTCAGGCTATCCTTGGACAGTCTGGACCAAAGACTTTGAAGAGTTTGGGTCCAGCTGAGGAAGGAGTACTGATAGGTGAATCGCAGCGAGGAGACCCTGGCTGCCGAGAACTGGAGAGCGTCTACCTGACCCATGAGATCAAGGAGACGAGAGTGCGTCAGAGCTGCCGTGAGCCAAGGAGGAACAAGCCGATGGAGCTCATGGGAGAGCAAATGGGCGCTGACCTCTTCCAGCCATCATTACCTGCTCAGTGTGGGCCTGAGGACTTCATCTTGAGGAATCAAGAACGACCAAGGATGAAAGTCCTCTCGCTGGGTCATGTTGCAGGCGCAGGATGGTTTTCTTCTACACAGATGGACAGTTTCTAGTTGGTAAATTACTTACGAGGGTCTGTGTATTTGTTCACACATTTATTTGCATTTATAAATGTTGCCTCCTTTTGGCATAGGACCATTTTTTTTTTAAATTTAAGGATACTGAAATAAAAGGTACTTAAATGAAATGCCTTGAGTATTTAAATTTGATAGCAAATGTTTCCTCTGATTCTTTCGGCTCTCATATCTGCCGCAGCCACCTTGGATATCATGACTAAGTGCAGGTATCAGTTTCAATACGAAGCATGCATAGACAAGAGGTCAGATCTTCATAGTGAAAAGTAAGCCAGCATTTCCCAGAGTTAGATGGATTGCGGTCTTCCAATATGATTTATATGACTAAAGTTGTGTTTCTGAACAGAGGAAGCAAGGAGGCCCACCTGAGCCCCCCTGACCCATCTCCTGAGAGGCAGGCCAAATGAATCCTTTTCTGACCCTCCTCAGAGACAGCATCTAAGACCCAATGGGAGAGGTGGTTCTCTCATTCCCAAGCCTAACCAGGCAGCATCCTCATCTCCAGAGACTCAGGGCAGTTGTAGAACTGGAGCAAAGAGGCCTTGCTAAGTCCCATCTCCACTAATTGTCATTATAGCTCACGACTTTCACACTGCCACGTTCTCTATCACTCTCTGCTGTCCACAAAACACACTCTAAAAGACACCCATGTCTTGAGCGGGGGAGACCGTTCCGTGGATAAAGCGCTGTATACACGTGAGGACCCAAGTTCTGATCCTCAGTGCTCACGAAAATGCTGGTTACAGATCTGTAACCCCAGGACTGGGCAGTGGAGACAAATGGATACGGGGGAGGTTGTTGTCTGACCAAAATGACCAGCTCCAGACTCGGTGAGAGACACTGTCTCCAAAAACATGGTGGAGGGCTGGTGAGGTGGCTCAGCAGGCAGGCTGCTCTCTTTCGAGTCTGAAGACCTGAGTTTGATCCCACACGATGGGAGGAGGAAACTGACTCCCTCACACTGTCCTCTGACTTCCACATGTGCAGAAGGGCATGCATGTATAAAGATGCATACACACACTAAATATTGTTAACAATGATGATGATGACAGGGTGGATATAATAGAGGACAACATCTGCCGTCGACCTCTGGTATCTGTGTGCATATGCATGAGCTTGTGTACCACACACACGAGTACATGCATGCATTCTCTTTCTCCCTCCCCCCCCCCCTCTCTCTCTCTCTCACACACACACACACATACATATACACACACACATTCTTTGGGCTGTCATTTTCCTATAGACTGTTGGGCCAAATAAGATTTATTTAAATAAATTAGTATATTTTCTTCTGCTAATTTTTGTTAGATAGATCTCAGACACAGAATGGTAGGTGTGTGTGTGTGTGTGTGTGTGTGTGTGTGTGTGTGTGTGTGTGTGTAAGAGAGAAGGGGGAGGGGAACAACTCTGGCCATCAGGCTTGGGAGCAGGCGCCCTTACCCACTGAGCCGTCTCATGGGCACCATACCCTCCCTCCTGCCACAAACAATTGAGAGGACGGTTTGTATAAGAACTTGTTATTCTTCCTTTCTAGGTCGCAAACTAAAACTGTAATTTTAAAATTTAGGGGATGGAGATTTGACAAGTGGAACTCATCCTGTCTTACTCTGTCTGGGTGTCCCTAATTAGTAGACGAGTCAGCTCGGGTCTCAGATTTTTTTTCTGCAGGGGTTTAGGCTTCCCACATGATGAAGTATGGATATTCCACAGTTTCCGAAGAGCCAAATTACTGTTTCTCTTCACATTCCCTATTATGTTCTGACAGATGACTTGGGAATCGATGGGAGCTTGGCTTCCAACAGGCATACATTAAGCTTCTGGTTCTACTGGGTGTGGCGGCTTTCAGAAAGCGATTTCGCTGACTTACACTCAGTATTACTTTACTAAACAGTGAAAACCGTGCAAAGGTATATGGAGCTGGTCTGCCTGTGGGGCACACCGCTGAAAAAACAGGTGGTTGTGCCGGTGTCCTGCAAGGATCTGACAGAATTGCTTCCAGTTGTGGGGAATTGCTTCTCAGAAAGGTGGCTTCCTCTGGTAGCTCAGAATCATGAACCCTACTGGGTATACATCTTCCTCCACACCATCCGTTTCGTGGCTATTATTTACAATTATTCGTATCTAGCTTTCTCTTTAGACTAGATGCTGCAGGAGGGAAGGGAACATATTTGATTCTGCACACTGGAGCATCTGCCCTGGGACTTCAAATTACAGGGGCACCACAAAAAGGTGGGGAAAGAGAACCCACTTGTTCATCTCAGGAGCCGAATTGCCCGCTGGTCCCTACCCACAGTTCACTTTCCATAGTTCACTTTCCAGCTACCCAGAGGCCTGTTCCCCTCCCTGGTTCTCTTGCCTCTCTGTCTCTGGGAGCTTCTGGACGTCAGGTCCAAAGGAAACTCCAATTGCCCAAACTCCAAAACACAGTCCAAATATTCAGAACCGGGCTCGACCTGGACCCCAGGAGGATCTCTGTAGTTAGATAAAAGCTGGTGTTCCTCAGGAACTGGTGGAGCCAGCTCTGTGTGCCAAAAGGAGTCATTTCCTTCATCTCCGGCAAAAAGGACACAATTCACATGCACCCGTGGCACGGTTCAACACATCAAGGCCCATGCTGGCCTCCAGGCTCCCTCGGTTCCTACCCACAAGTACTGGCTATACATCTCAGGGCCCCCACACCAGTGTCCTGGCCCGCCCTTCCCCCAGCTACGCCCCTTCTTATAACCCAGCTGTTCTCACTTTGCTTTCTCTCTTTATCCCTAGCTGTTCTTGCTCCCTCACAGATTGTCCTGGCCATTTCCAATTTACTGGCTGTGTTCAGTCTGCTGGCTATGTTCAGCCTATTTCTTTCTCTCTCTGCTCTGGACTCCTCAAGATGCCTCTGGCTGTTCTCTCTCTCATATCTACAATTAAAAAAAAACCTTCCCATACGATGGAGAGGTCATGTTGTCAGTTTATATGTGGGTCATGGCCTTACTTCGAGGTCATTTCCGGTTTCTGTTTCTAGAATTGCTTTCTCTTGCCTGTCATCTACATCCAAGATCTATATTGCCTTACAAAAGTCACAGCCTGGTGGAGCTGAGAGACTGACTCCAGTAACCCAATTTAACACCTTTTTTTTTTCCAGGACAAGAAGTTGAAGTCTCCATGCAGGAACAGAACCGAAGGAAAAGACATGATCTCCTTCCTTCAGGCCTGTTGTAGGACTGGTTTTATTTTAAAGCCCTTTTGAGTATGAAGCACAACCTCTTTCTTTATCCCTTTGTCTTTGAAACTGTAATATTTAATAGAGGATAATAACTTCAAAGTTCTGATGTCCCCCACAATTGACAGTTTGCTTTGAGTAGTGTAGGACTAGATTTGGCATCTCACCAAGCCAGACGTCCTGGCCTGTCCTTATATGGAGCCGCACTCTGGCTCCTTGCAAATGTTCCTTCTTGAGTTTGGAAAGGAAGTGGATGGCTCTGGGGAAGTTTCTGGGCTGGGCTTCCCGAAGTGCCTGTTTGCAGCTTCCAGCCAGACTCTTTCAGCTGGGAGCCTGGGGAGGAACTTCACTCCAACAATGCAAAGTCCATTACTGCCCAGTGTTTTCAGGGGTGCTAGGCCAGTCTTAGCTCAGATGAGCTCTGTCATGGCTGCCCCGAGCTGGAGTGAGATTTAAGAAGGGAGTCGTAACTACAGACGTGCCAGAAACGATGTGAAACATTGTATGTGTTTGAGTTCATCCATTTCTCCCTACATGGCTAAGAGAGGCATCTCTCTGTCATTCCTTCCTGTGGTGGTGTGAATCAAAATGCTCCCCTCCCCCCCAATGGCTCATATATGAGAATGCTTGGTCATTGGGGAGTGGCACTACTTGACAGGGATTAGTGGGTGTGGCCTTCTTGGAGCAAGTGTGCAATGGGGTGGGGTTTGGAGGTTCAAGTGCTCTGCCCAGGCGCAGATTCTTTCTCCCTTCCTGCTTCCTGTGGATCCAGATGTAGAACTCTTAACTTCTCCAACACCAAGTCTACGTATTGCCACCATGCTCCCTGCCATGATGACAATGGACTAAACCTCTGCAACTGTAAGCCAGTTCCAATAAAATCCTTTTTTTTTTCGAAGAGTTGCTGTGGTCCAGGTGTCTCCTTGCAGCAAGAGGACCCTGACTAAGACGACCCCCTTTTATGAGAAAAGAGCAGGCAGAGAATCAAGTCCCTTGCTCAGTTCAAGCTCACAGCAAACTGAAGGCTTGCGACTTGAATACAAACAAGTGTGTTTTCTTTTCCTGTGCTGGAGTCAAAACCAGGGCCTCACTCATGCTAGGTAAATGCCCTACCCACGGAGCTACACTCTCAGCTCTTCTAGTCTGTCCTTCCAGACACAGACACTCTCCCTAGGGAGCTAAGTAGGTCTTTTTCCCTAGGAACAAAAACCTCAGTCTGGATAAATGACTTTCCCGAAGCCTTTCTGGTTGTCTCCATCTGAAGGTGTTCGGAAGGACTACCCCACAACAATTCTCTACCTTCTCTTCTGTCCACTGGTGTAACCAGACTTCAAAGACCTCACTTAGGTGGTAGTTATGAAGAATCATAACAACTACAGGGGGATTTTCTTGAGGGGGGATTAGATGTCCATAAAATACGATCAATAAGTAATGTGTTAATTGACTTTTTC